ATATTGTAAGCTGATAGAGTATATATGTATTAGGGTGGAATATTAAATGTATAAGTTTATAGTTTAATTTCATCATATTCAACTAAATTTTTAAGAATGCCTATGAAATATTGAATTTTTAGAAAATATAGAATATTAGAATATTTTACTCATTTTCATGTAGAATAATTACGCACTAATGTACGTACTATTTACTACTAATATACTAATATACGTACTAATATATTAGTAATAACTAAAACGAAACAATAAACATTTATTTATTGAAAAAAAAAAAACTTTTCTTCATGAAACTTTTTATTGTTTACAAAAATTTTAAAAGAACTAATTTTGTATGAGTTACGGATTGTTTAAAACGGGCGTACGATTAACTGACATATCAAAGTTTTTTTTTTTTTTTTTTGATATTTAAAGTTTTACATTTTATATCTACTAACGAATAAAATAAGAAAATAGGACGCTGCACCAGATGAAAGTTTTGCGGGGCCCTGGGCAAATTTTTTCATGGGGGCCTAGAATTTTTTATTGTGAAGTCGAAACAAATTTTTATAGATACCCTAGTATTCGTATGGAACAATTTTTTATTCTATATAACTGACGAAAAAAATATTTTCGACGTACAAATTTATCAAAAGTCTCACGTTATTTTTTCTGTTACTCTCTTCTTTGTTTTTCTTTTTTCAACACTACACATTTGCTTAGAAAATTTATCATGGTCACGGCCAGACATTTTAGTTAAAAAAAAAAAAGGTTGAGATAGGGAACTTTTAGAAAGATATTTAATAACAAAAATAAAAAACGTCCAAAAATTACTGATATAATGATGGTTGGTATATACATTAAATACTCATTATACCTATTCGTAATAACTAAGCAATTTTTATACGTAGCATTGCGACCAACGCCAGCCGTGAATTGAAAAATAGATATCGGTTGTAATTATTTACAAATAATATTAATATAAATTATTCTTAGTAATTGTCCAGTAATACCTAAGTCAAGTACAATAAATTGCATATGAGCACATACAAGATAAGGAGCAATAATTCTTGCACAACAAATAATACGAAAAGCTAAAAATTCTCTGTTGATTATTAATATGGATATTATATTTAATCATCAAAGTGTTAAATTTTATTATTGTCTATTAATTATTATTATACTATTTATACTAAAATCTAGGTACCTACTAAAAAAACTAAAGTTAAAGATCAAAATACCATACACATTTGCACATGATAGGGGCATTTTATATTTAATATAAAAATATAATTTTAAGTTTATAAATTATTAAATACCATGAAAAATGCGGGACCCTTGGGGTGCTGGGCAGTTGCTTCTTCTTTCCTACCCTTTTGCTGATGGAGTAAAAGTAAATAAATAAATACTTATCGGATGATAATGAGAATTGGGAAGCTAACCAGTCATAGAACCCATTATTTTAAAGTTTACGTCTCTTAATATAAGAAAATACCAACGTATTTTGAAGTTTCAAGATGTCCGCAATATCAGAGTTTGCCAGGAACTGTGATTGTATATTAGCTTGAGATTAATGGATTTAGGTAGTAGACTAATAGGAGATTATTTTGTTGATTTACTAAATTGTAAACTGTTTTAATGTATGTATGCTTTTGGAGAATGTGATTAGAAACGAACTGTTGAGAGTAAGTGATTTGGCGTAAGGAAGTCGCTTGAAAAGCCTATATTGATTTTAATTGGTTTAGTTTAATGCTACCCCATAATATTGGGTACCATTAGTCGTAACTCTAACTTATAAATAAGAATTAAATTTCTAACAGAAATTCGGATTTAAAATAATTCTTAAGAATTAAAAATCTTAAGAATGTACAAATTCAGTGACAGTCGATCTGTTGATTGTAGGATACTCTGATGCGATGGAGCAATCGCCTATCAATGCAAGTCTTTATACCATATAAAATATAAAGACATACATTGACATTTATATCTATTTCACACACATAATGAAGCTAAATGCCTCTTGGTTCTTGGTGTTTAAAATTGACTATACAGCATGAAAATACATCTTTTAAGCTTTTAAGCATTTTAAGATAGTTACTTAAATTACCAATAGCTCCGTGAAATATATTTTGTTTTAAATTTTTTTAATTTTAATAACGTATTTAATATTTAAATAATTAAACCTATATTTATTTGCGCTTCAAATTGATAATAAATGTTTTTTTCTAAGACTACTATAAAGTAGTAATATTAGCAATAAGTAGGGTTAATAGGTAATAATAATTAATACCTAATTTATAATTATCATTTTCAGTCTGTATGATTATTGATTTATGATAAAATATGACACATTTTACTCGATCATAATTTATATTAATATTATTATTATTATGTGCTGTTTTAAGCGGCACATTTAACAATAAATACAATTGTATTCTAAAATAGACTTAATAGTGCAGGCTGTCGGTTATAACCCCCTAACCCCTCCTGGATACGACACTGCTGAATAGTACACATCTAATAGATGAAATTGGAGTGAAAAATTGCGAGCGAAGCGAGCGATTTTATGATGATTAAATTTACAATATAATCATTCAATCATGTAACCTGTCATTATTTTGCTCTAACTTTTTGAATGGTGGTATTAATAAATTTTGTACTTTGCCCCACCAAATAAAATACAAGTCGGCGCCAGTGGAAGTGACCAAGAACCATACTTTTTAATTATAATAAAGAAATCTATTTACATGTGAAATGATGTGTTAAATATTGGCAAAAATATTTGCATTATATCCTAGGTTTTGTAAATTAAAATTTCTATCAGATGAAGCAAAAACATTGTTTGGGACCAACTTGAAAATTGTTTGTTATAGCGTATTTATTTTAAATCTATATTTATCCGATATCACCGTACGACGTTAGAAAAATAAAAAATAAATTGATAGTTATAATTATATCGTTGGCTTAATAGTTGTTATAAAGTGGTTCGAATCAATTTCACACGAGGCTTTTTTTTATGGACGGAGAGAAACTTTGATATGCACCGTATGGTATATTCCCTTGGATAGTTAGGTTATTTCGTGATCCACGTGGGGTAGAAATCTACTGGTCCTCGTAAATCTTGTGTTATTGGTATATGATATATCGTTAAAATATATCTACCCTACGGGAGATGGTATGACGAGCGAATTCGTCTCGAATATTACTATATAAAAAGTATAAGGGCGATGCTGTCTCTAGATTGGGGCACATTTCGAAGGGTCGTTCGTTTTTCGTCTCAAATGCGTACGAAATCGTTGTATGCGCAAAAGCGCGTAATACAATATACCATACAGGCGGAGACGGTCGTTGAAAACAATCTCGAAACCAATATAAAGCATTCACGTCAGCATACGATAAAATGTTGACGGCTAATGTACCATCAGGACATGCGTGAGAGCCTAGAAGAGTTACGGTTTTCCAAAATTGCTCTACCTCCTCTCTATTCAACAATTGAAACATGGACTTTCTGTGTGTAAAACTAATATGTTTATATATATATATATGATGGTAAAAAGTTGAAATAAGGTAAAATGTGAAATTGCAACAGTCTTGGAAAAAACGTTAAACTTTGACTTTTATTCCGGTATAACTATTCGTGTAACTATGCAAGTCTATGACCCAATGTCATTTGGACAAACGCGTAAAGCTTGTAAATTTAAGTATATTACTAACCAGAAAATTCTGTTTTTCCTTGATTAGTTAAGTATAAAACGCAACAGTGGAATACGGAAAATGGGATTTTGAAACATTGAATTAATATTTTTTTATGGATTCCTTATATTTAAGCCTTGATAAATACACATTTTTTTTTTTTTGTAATGAATTAATATATTTATATGAAAACTTTTAAAGCAAAAATATAACAACAACAGTTATCAATATCGCAATAACATGTAGATATTACGACCTAAATTCAATTTATACATGAAATTAGTAACAACATTTTTAAGTACCATAATAATTTATCCAAAAAGACACAATAAATAATACTTTTATTAAATATATTAAACATATTAAATACAAAGTGAAGTGCAAAAATATGTATCGGTTTTACAATTTTAAAGTTCAAATAATTTTTTTATTTAAAATTAATCGTTTATTTACATTAGAATTTATAATGAAAAATGTATGTTTCTGATTTAGAATAGAGAAATCTATAACGTGAAACCCAAATATTCGGATCTTACAACTTAAAATCCGAAATCGAAAATCCGGATTTTTTGGATTTTCGGAGAATCCGAATTTCATTTCCATTACTATCACGTACACACGGACAATTGTACACGCGTCTTTGTATGGACGACGGAGACACGAGTCGGTTATTATTTCTCGATCACTATAAAATATAACAGACGTGTTACGCGTATCGCGTTCTTATGATGGTTGAGCGGTCGCGTTTGGACACAACTCGTGTAATACGCACGGGCGTACGCTGTCTGCTGACGTCTAAAATAACGTTCCGAGATTTCGTGTTCGTCTAATAACGTTGTATATATCTGTAACGATTCGTATAATATTTGCAGTGGTGGGAAATCGCAGTCAGCAGAACGTGCCGGAAAACGGTTTATCCGTCGTGCGGTCGGACGTTAACCGTAAACCGTATCGTATGTACATACGTATATAACTGGACCAAAATCGTTTAGTATTATAACACATAGGTATTGCCGTGCAATACGTATGCATTATTATTATTATTATTGTTACTATTGTTACAAGACGTGCTCGTCGTGAAATTCAGTCGCGGATCGCGGACGTTTCGACGACTTCATTATGCGCTGCGGCCGCGACGGTAGTTGTCAGCCGAGGGGGTGTGGTGATCGTAAAAGGGTTTATTATCATAGGCTCGGTGGTGGGTAGGTGGCGGCGGCGGTCCACGTTTGGCGGCAAAAACTTCTAGCGGCGGCGGCGGCGGAGCAACAACCCTTCGTCGCCCTCGTGCGACGGCTGCGCTCGCGATACACGCTGCCGAGACACGCGACCGTTTTGCCGGCGTCGTCAGTTCGTGTCCGTTATGCCGAACGTGCGGACCTACCGCACCACCATGCACACAGGTCCGGGGCATGTGCTCCACGTGATCGCGATCGCACTCGTCACCTTAGCCGCCGTCCTGCCGCCGTCCCGCGGAGAACTCGTAGTCGGTAAGATTTTCAAAACGCACGTTGCCATCGTTTTCCTATAGCAATAGTTCTATGATAATACATGTAAGCTGAGCTGGATTGGACAAACGAGTTCGTTTTTCGATCACCAGTGCTGGTGCGTAGTACGTGCACACGATGGCCAGTAGAATATCGCGACGATCGACCTTGTGTTAACGAAAAGCTGTACGAATAAAAACAAATATTGTATGATTGAGCCGAAAAATGACGACCGACCGGTTCGTTATTTCTAAGCTCTTAACAAATTTCAAAAATATTCCAGTTGATATAGTCGATATTCATATTATTAAAAGATACTATCAATGCTGCGAAAACACCATGAAACCGTGTACCTTATGAGGTGTACAATGTACACTGAGTATGTTCAGCGTATGACTCGAATTAAAATAGCGTAAATATGCTATAATATATTACATATATAATGACTTGAGATGAATACCAAAAGGGAGGGAATTGATGCTGCGTTACTCTCTTTATATACATTTATTACTAAGCATGCAGAATAATCCGTAGTATTTGTACTTTAGTTCAAAGTACAATTTTCCGGTCGAATTTTAGGTACAATGAATGTTTTTTTTTTTTATTGGTATAGAAAATTACAATCTGTGAAGTGTTACACAATAAGCAATTATGATAATAAAAGTACAACAGTGACATGAAAACTTGAATAGGAAGTGGCCCACTGGCCACACCTACAATATTACTTACTATTTGTTATTTACAATTTTTTTTTTTTTTTTTTATTAACACCCGTTTTACAATAACACAGGATCTAGTAGGTCACAAGGCCAGTCCCTGTTAAGGCGGCGAGTGATATTATTTGGAATTGTTGTGGTGGAAATTTGATGAATTAGTAGATTAGGGTGATCTTTTAGTTTGTTGTGGAATTTTTTGTAATGTTTAGTTGCTAGTTCTTTGACAGTTGGTAGTTGAAGGTCTTTATGAAGATTTTGATTTGTAAAGTACTAGGGGCATTTGTGATGATTCTTAGAGCTATTGATTGGAAAGATTGTAATGGTCTAATGTTAGATGGTTTGGCAGGTCCCCATATTTGTATCCTGTACGACCAATGAATGTTTAAGAGATGAAATTGTGTTTATCGTTTTTAATCGCGTTCTGTTTGCAATTATATACAACGCATAAAAATTGATTTTCATTATATGATATGATTGATAATATGTGCAATTTAGTGTACATTTGTATAAAAAAAAATTTAGTTCACCTTAAGTTTTTTAGAAGTCATCAAAATTAGAATTAATTTGATGACCATATTAATTTTAAATAAAGCGATATAGTTAAAATGTACTTGGATAAACGATTTAAATATTTTAGTCTAAAATAAATGAATATTAATGGTTTTCGATAAAAAAATTGTAGGTACAATGAAAAAAAAAAAAATACTGTATCGAAATTTTATTAGGAATATGAAGTTTAAAAATAACCCAGAATTTTGAAAATTGAAAGTATGTACCAATTTATATGAAACTAATATATCTACAAAACTAAAAAGAAAGATTGGTTTAAATTTAATACATTTATTTCAGTTATTTTTGGTTCTTTTGACTGTAGTAAAAAATTCAACTCTAAGATATTTTTTTTAGATTTTTTTTTTTTTTTGTTCTTTTATACGATATTTAGTCAGTCAATTCATAACGCTTTGTTTTATTTTTATTGTAAATTGATTAATAAAATGTCCATACTAGAATATAGCGGTGGTCTCATTAGAATTTTAATGAATCTATAAATCGTTGTTGATCATGGATTCCTGAAAATATTGTAAAATCATGAGGATTTTCTAGTCAAACATGATTATTATTACTTGATAAAAACGATAAAAATGTTATTTGTTTCCTTGGATTTTAAGAAAAACCTGGAATACATAGCATTTTTAATATTTATATACTTCTCAGTTCTTTTAGCTATAGGGGTACTTCGAAAAAACATACGTAGAATTTTTTTTCGATCAGAAATTGTATCTTTTTAATGCTACATCCTTAAATAACTGTAATTTTTTTTAATTTCTCAACATTTAAAAATTGTTGTCAATAATTTTCAGAAAAATTACAAAAAAATATGATTTATATTATTGCAATTATTATAAAAGTAATTTTGATTATTTAATATTTAAAAAATAATAAATCAAATCAAAATGATCATTGATTAAGTTTTTTTAAAATATTTTTATATTAAATGTGTCAGTGTTATTCAATACTTTTACAAGTTTGTTTAATTTTTTGCTGGCTTATGTTTAACTGAAGGTAAAATATATTAATACATTTTAATGTTTTAATTAAATATTTTAGTATTTGTTAGTCGTATTTGTAAACGTAATTTTACTTGCATTTTAATTTTCGAACGAGATTTTTAAAATATAATGTTCATTTTTAGTAATTACTTGATTTATTTAAAACGTTTGGTCATAGGTATAAAAATTATATAAATATAAATCTTATTTAAAATCGAAAATTATAATTAATTATTTCACTTTCAAACATTTAAAAATGTTTGATGAAGAATATAGTCTTTTGAACGACCTATACAATGCATGAACCCACCTGTACACCTATATTAATATTCTGTTTGAGAAGGAAAGCTACAAAGGAAAAATAATTAATTTTTGTATCTGGTAGACTATTTAAAACTATTTTTATTTGTCCATGCCATTATTCTTCACATACTTTAAAATAAAATACGGGTATGAATGTGATTGAACATGGTTAATATTTTAGAAAAATGTAGAATATATTAAATTAATATTTAAAAATTAAATAAGTCTTAATTTTTCATAAATTATATACATGTTCAAATAGTTTTGATGTTATTTAAATTGTAAACGATTGTAAAAAAAACCAACGGAATAAATCTGCAAATAAAATCTGATTATATATAATTACTTATATTCAATTTTCAAGCCATAAAATAAAAAAAAAACTTTTTTTATCAAAAGTATTATAATTTTAAAAATCTCTATGGCTTTAATTAATACAATATTATTGAAAGTTTTTTTATCGTTTCCAAGATTATTGCGCAAATAAAAAATAATGTACTTATTAAACAGTAATTATTTTCCTTTACAGTTTTTGATCCAATAAGAATGCATGTGTAACATTTTATGCATTCTACTAACCAAAAATTCTAACGATAACAAAAATAAAAATAAAAATTTATTTTTATAAATCTTGTGCAAGTATATTTTCTATTATTTTTTTAGAATCCAAAATAAAAAAAATTAATCAATCTATTTCAAATTATTGACGGTTCTCATAAAACTAGATACTCATGCATGTTTTTGCCTATGCAGAAATAACTACATAGTTAGATTAAAAGTAAAATGTAAGATAATATTTGTTTAAAAATGTACACAGCTTAGTAATATTTCATATTTCACGATGTTATCATATTATAATTTATTTTTAATTAATTATATTTGCTACTTTTTTAATGTATTAAGAATTTTACTTAGAAATGTATTTTAAAAGTCATTTTTACGGTTCACAAATGAACTGTACTCATTCGTTTTACGATTACACCCACATCAGTGGCAAATGTTGACGTAAGACTTGTCGGGATTAGTAGGCTATATTGTTAAAATAGAGCCTAGTTTTTATCTTTTTAGATGTCAGTTTAAAAATTTTAATATGAAAAGTAAATCATGTGCAATAACGTATTTTTATTCTTTAGACCTATATTAATATACAACAACTATTTATTTTACATTTATTTATCAAATAAATAAAGAATATCATCTTATTATCAAAAAAAAAAAAATTGTGTAATCACAGATATAAATAATAATCCATGATTATGATCAAAAGTTCTTTTTATATTATTAATTGAATGATTGATCAGATTTAATAAGAATTAATAATCAAAAATAAGAATTTCTCAAAACATCGTCACTCTTCGTGATATGGCTTTACAATATAAATACGTTCATAAATATAATTAGTATACGTAAACCTTGTTAACTAAATCAGATGAGTATTTTTAAAAAAAATAATTTACTGTATAGTTAACTTTCTCCGTACTTCTCCATTTTAACTATTTTTTTCCTTAACGTACAAATTATGTTTCATAGTCATAAATGTTGTATACGGTTGTGTAAACCTTATAAATTTATTAGGTCAATCATTAAGACGGCTGTTGGACATAAGTGCCAAAGATACAAAAATGACCTATCATTTGCTCCAAGATCTGTAGGACATAAGCACCAATAATATTGTATACTTGTTTTACCCGATATATGACATAAGCGCCAAAGTTAATATTTTATATAGGTAGGTAGTTATTTAAAAATTGCTATATTTAATAAAAATTATATTATATTAATATTATTATGTCGATAATAAATTATAATATAAAATTATGTAATATTATAATGTATGAATTGGTTGATTTTTTAATCCCACTCTTTTCGCGTATTCTGTACGATTTATTTCACCATCCTGGTATTTCTTCCATTGAACAATTATTTCTTCGTGAGATATCTTTAATTTATTGATACGAGGAGAGTTCAAAATAAATATGTTTCGCTTTGTAATTTTAATAATACATCAATTACTATATGAACGGAACAATAAGCCACATAAAATTGATCTTTTAAATGTCGATGATATGATATGATATGATTCAGCTGCATTTGTAGTTTGTATAACCTCATTATCCGGAATTTCAGTCCAAATTAATATTTAACGGAGGCTCACAGGTACCTACGATTTTGGCGCTTTTGTACGATACGACTTTTTTTTTTCTCATCTCATTTTGGCGCTTATGTATTTCACTGCATTAAGACACCAAATATTTTTTCTAAATTTTAACAATAATAATCAATATTAATTGATACTTTACCTTGTTTTTGTCAGAAATTTAGAATTATAATTTATTGTTTATGATACTAATATTTATATTTTTATCATAATAATAATACAGTTGTGATATGGTTCGCGAATCTAGCAGTTAACATTTGAAATATTTACAAAATT